TGGCAACGGCTCTTTTGCAAATCAAACTACCTATCCAAGTGGTCGTGACCTGAATTATGTAGCTGTTGGTGATTTTGATAATGACACACGACTGGATATCGTTGTTGGTGGTCCATCTGATAACACTTTGAGTATACTTCATGGATATGGCAATGGTTCTTTTGCAAAGCGAATTACGTATTCAACTCTTGATGATCCATATTCTGTGGCTGTTGGTGATTTTAACAACGACACTCGACTAGATGTCGTTGTTGCTAGTCCAGCGGACAACACTGTAAGTGTATTGCTTCATTATAACAAAGGATCTTTAGGAAACGAAATAACATTTGCATCTGGTGGTGGTTCTAGTCTACGTTATGTTGCTGTCGATGATTTCAACAATGATACGATCTTAGATCTTGTCGTCGTTAATTATGGTACTAATGATATAGGTGTACTTCTTGCAAATGGCAATGGATCATTTTTAGAGCAGAAAACGTTTCCAACAGGCTCAAACCCATATTCACTCGCCATAGGTGATTTCAATAAGGATGGCCAACACGATTTTGCTGTAGCTAATTATGGTAGTAAAAATATTGATATGTTTATTGGAAATGGAAAGGGAACATTTACACGACAATTAACTGATAGATCTAGCTTGATTTTCGCTCCCGTAATTGTTACTACTGGTGATTTCAACAATGATGAACAATCAGAAATTCTTGTTGCATATGATAATACTGATAATATAGATATATTTGTTACATTTGATACTGGTGCTTTTAGAAACCAACTTACATATTCAACTGACTCTGAGCCATATTCTGTAGCAGTTGATGATTTCAACAATGACACTCGACTGGATATCGTCGTTACTAATTTTCATAGCAACACTATAAGTGTACTTCTCGGATATGGTAATAGTTCTTTTGCAAATCATAATACATATTCAACTGGCTCTCAGCCACGGTCTTTAGCTGTTGGTGATTTTGATAATGACACTCGACTGGATATCGTCGTTGCTAATACTAATAACAATACTGTAAGTGTACTTCTCGGATATGGTAATGGTTCTTTTGCAAATCATAATACATATTCAACTGGCTCTCAGCCATATTCCGTAGCTGTTGGTGATTTTGATAATGACACTCGACTCGATATCGTCGTTACTAATTGGGGTGACAACACTGTAAGTGTACTTCTCGGATATGGTGATGGTTCGTTTACAAATCATAATACATATTCAACTGGCTCTCAGCCATGGTCTTTAGCTGTTGGTGATTTCAACAATGACACTCGACTGGATATCGTCGTTGCTAATGAGAATGACAACACTGTAAGTGTACTTCTCGGATATGGTAATGGTTCTTTTGCAAATCAAACTAAATATTTAACTGGTAGTTTTCCATTTTTTGTAACTGTTGGTGATTTCAATAATGATACTCGAGTGGATATCGTCGTTGCTAATTGGGGTGACAGCACTGTAAGTATACTTCTCGGATATGGTGATGGTTCGTTTGCAAAGCAATCTACATATCCAGCTGGCCTTACACCATCTTCTGTAGCAGTTGGTGATTTCAACAATGACACTCGACAGGATATCGTTGTTTCCAATAATGGTGACAGAACTGTAAGTGTACTTCTCGGATATGGCGATGGTTCGTTTGCAAGTCAAACTACATATTCAACTGGCTCTGAGCCATGGTCTTTAGCTGTTGGTGATTTAGACAATGACAATCGACCGGATATCGTCGTCACAAATTCGGTTGACAACACTGTAAGTATATTTCTTGGTTATTTAAATAAGGGTTTTCAATACCAAACGACACTGATAACTGATAACGGGTCTGTTCCGCGTTCATTCGTCGTTGGTGATTTCAATAATGACACTAGACTCGATATCGCCGTTGCTAATTTTGGGGACAACACTGCAAGTGTACTTCTCGGATATGGTGATGGTTCTTTTGCAAATCAAACTACATATTCAGCTGGTTTTTTACCACAATCTGTAGCTGTAGGTGATTTCAACAATGACACTAGACTCGATATCGCCGTTGCTAATTTTGGGGACAACACTGCAAGTGTACTTCTCGGATATGGTAATGGTTCTTTTGCAAATCAAAATATATATTCAACTGGCACTTATCCAACTTCTGTAGCTGTCGGTGATT